CTGTATAATATCAACTTATTGTGTGTGTTAAATTTCAAGTTTTTAAAAAAATATTTTGTTTTATAATTAAGATACATAAAATGTTTTACTTCCTAAATATAATCATTTAAAGTCATTCGATAATACATATATGACTACGTTTATATGGCCTGATTTATGCCGAAAATTTATACTGTTAGTATTATCACATTATTCAAGAGATTTTCTTTCTACACGTTTAAATAGCGATTACATGGTGTCAGTATTTATAAATATCGTTATTAGAACTTCGGCAAAAAGCCGTATAAACGTAGTTTATGCTTTCATAAAACTTTGAAAACCTATTCGTTATGTTACAAAAGGAAATACAATTTTAAATGTCATACGTACAAATATATGTATTTGTGTTATATTATTTTCATGTTCATTTTCATTATACAAAGAATGTATGTTGTATTTACATAAAGAATACTTTATTTTCGTGTTACATAAAGAATAGACATGCATGTTGTATTTATATAAAGAATATTTATTTTTATATTACACACATTATACATAAAATGTAAACTTTTAAATAAAATTATTTAAAATCGATCAACAATGAAATTACGCTTTTGTACAGCTTCCTGTTCATTATATTCATGCATTATATTATTTTCTTGTAAATCCATTTCACCACCATATATATAATCTTCATCCGCTATGTTCAATCTATCGCCAATGATTATAAAATTATGGAGGACACAAGCTGCAGCAATCATTTCATTTCCTAAATTAAAATCCGCAATATCTAAATATTTTAATCTTCTAAACTTAGTTTTTAATCGGCCATAAGCCATTTCAATAATGGATCTTATTGAACTTAATTTAACATTGTATGTTATTTGAGAAGGTAGCAAATGCCCATTATCTCTGAATGGAACCATCACATTCTGCATCAAAGGATATGCAGAATCTCCTATTAAATGCATATCATTTGGAATTAGAGGCATTTCTGCATTTCTTATCTGATTGTATAATGGGCTATTTCTGAAGACTCTGGCGTCATGCATACGTCCTGGCATTCCAATATGACAATCAATGAATACTCCTTTGTGATCACAAGCTGCTATAAATATTTTTATAATTATTAGATACGTATACATATACATAGCAGGTATTACCAAGTAAAGTTAATCCAATCTGCGCCGTTTTTTAAACGGGTGCACGTCTATGAACTGCGAACATAGCGCCATGTGCTCACGCACACTACTAAACGCGCGGTTCACGGACGTGCGCCAGTTTAAAAAACGGCGCCGATTGAGCTTCATTAAGCATCGTAGATAAATATGGTTCAGGACTTTTCGACTCAGTTTTTGATCAGGAATAATGCTACATAATCAGTGGGCGTTTTTCAGTTACACCCTGTATATTAAAAGAAAGAAATACTTTGTTTCGTTTTTAATCTCTCTTTACCTTGCAATATGATAGAATGGAAACCCTTTCTATTGTAATAATCATGTGTATTTCTAGGGGGTTGTTTACAAGGGATATGACATTCATCTATAGCACCTATTACTCCTGGAAATCCATGCGATCGGTTTTGAAATACCTAAAATTTTAAAATTATGATAAATATAATTTTATAACAATATAAACTTTCAGTAATTCAAGTTAAATATATAACAAATTTAACAACATACATTACAAGATATTTGCTGTTGTATTGCATTTGGCCATTGCACATACTGAGGCATTAATTGTGTCCAAGCACTTATAACATTTTTAAATATTGCGTGTCCTGTACTTTTTGCTAAATTAAACCTATCACCAACAGCTAAAAAACTCTCTGATTTAGCCAGTACCCAAATTGTAAACATTACTTTTTTTTCTACATTAACATTTGCAAATTCATGATCATTTATGAGAGGAGCAGTTACATGAAGCAGTTCCTGTAATTTCACGTAAAAAATTCTATAGTTGTGTATGATTAAAGGTGCGTTTTATTTCACGCATGATGTGCATAATGTATTGTTATTTTCAACGAAAATATTAAAGAAAGATAAAATGATATATCATGCGTGAAACGGAAAATACCCTAAGTAATAAATAAAAAATAAATAAATGTGTGTATATGCGTGTGTATACATACTTCGAAAGTGCATCGCGACATCCTGAAGTGTTCGATAAATTGTATATCAGTATAGCGAGGGATTATAAGTTCATAATAATTTTCGTTTCGTGGTCTTTCATTTCTTCTAACCTCCAAATCATCAAATAATTGAGGTTGACCTAAATCTTCCGCAATATTATTTATTATATCGTTTATATTTAAGTCGTCATCTATCGCTATTAAAATTATAGCTTCCATTATCCATAAATTATTCTGATAAATACATCAAAATATACTCTCAACATCATGATTATACACTGCTACATACAAGGACAAAAAGTGCGTTCATCAGAAAATGCAAACTGTTGGCAGCACAGCACAAAGCGCTTCTGAAGCGCTGACTTCTGCTGAACGCAGCCATTGAGGCTTCGAAGTTTCAAATATGTGATGACGGCGGACATAGCAAAGATGTACCGTCAAGTTCTGGTGGAAGATGATCAGGTAGCATTGCAGCGCATCGTGTCGAAAGATAATCCATCAGAGAAGATTAAAACATACGAGCTGTTAACCTTGACTTACGGAACGGCATCAGCGTCGTTTCTAGCTACCAAGGTGATTCATCGATTGGCCGAAATTGAAGAAGCGCAATTCCCAAAGGACGCAATAGTAGCTCGAAGAGATCTATATATGGATGACTTATTAACAGGGGCAAATTCTATAGAAGAAGCTCTAATGGTCCGCAATGAGGTTGCAGCATGATTGCAAAAGGGAGGATTCATTTTGAGAAAATGGACCGCGAATCATCCAGACTTGCTAAAGGATGTTCCAGGACAAGCAACTGATAATGTAGTTCTGGAGCTGGATAAAGAAGTCAACACCAAAACATTAGGAGTCAGATGGGATCAGGCGAAAGACGTGTTTCAATACGCCATTGATATTTCTACGACGGCGGCTGTCACGAAGAGAATGATGCTATCCGCCATAGCGAAATTTACGACCCGCTCGGACTATTAGCACCGGTAATAGTGCAAGCCAAAATATTAATGCAGGAGCTGTACCGACTTCAGTTAGGTTGGGAGATCTTACCAGTGGATATAATTACCAAATGGATAGCCTTTGTGGAAGACTTACGAAACGCAAGCGGATTCCATGTGCCGCGATGTATTGTGGAGAATTCTTCAGATGTCAAAATTCAACTCCACGGCTTTTGCGATGCTAGTGAAAGGGCAAACGGAGCGTGTGTATATGTCCGGAGCGTTAACCGTCATAACGTAGGTCAAACTCATTTATTATGCACTAAGACGAAGGTGGCTCCCATAAGGCGGTGTTAATTCCTAAACTGGAGCTATGCGGAGCACAGTTGTTAACACGGCTAATAGTTAAAATCAAGACCTCATGGAGCAGCAAGATAGATACGATATATTTGTGGACAGATGCGTCCATCGTTTTGCACTGGATCAAGACAGTTAACAAGAAGCTGCCCGTATTCGTCGCTCATAGAGTAGGGGAGATCCAAGAGCTGACCGCAACCCAGGATTGGAACCACGTGAGCACAAAAGACAATCCAGCGGACATAGCATCACGAGGTTCAAACTTGCGAGAGCTGTTTAAAAATCATTTATGGTAGAAAGGTCCCACATGGTTGGCGGATCAAGCGCAAATCGATCAGCGATTGAGGTTAGAAATCAATATAGAGGCTCAAGAGGATCAGTCATATGTGCGAGCAATGGTAACAATAGTGAAGCAATCAGAAACGGGGCTGGTGGAAAGATTTTCCACGCTACAGAATCTCGTTCGAGTCATAGCCACTTGTATAAGATTTGCGCGACTTTGCAGAAAAACAAATCAAGTGAACGCTTCCCAACCGCTGATGGTAGATGAACTGGAGCATGCTAAGAGATGCATAATCAAAATAGAACAACAATCCGTCTTTATCACGGAGATTAACGCGTTGCGCGCGAAAGAAGCAATACCTGTAAGTAGCACCCTAAAGCATCTCAATCCTTTGCTGGATAACGAGGGTTTGTTACGAGTAGGAGGCAGGCTAGAACATTCCGGATTGTCATACGAAGCTAAGCACCCGGTAGTGTTGCCGCGTCATTCCAAGCTCACTAAACTAATTATATTGCACGAACATACCAGGAATGGTCACGCGGGTTCGGATGCTACTTTGTCAGCGGTATGACAGTTATACTGGCCACTCAAGGCACGTAGCATTACTAGAAAGCTGATTCGCGAATGTATTAAATGTTTTAGAGCGAGACCGCGTGTATCTGAACAGATAATGGGAAACTTACCGAGCATTAGGGTAATACCTTCGAAACCGTTTTCAAGCACAGGCATTGATTTTTGCGGCCCTCTACATTTACGCGATCGTAAGGGTCACAGAGCCAAACGAATTAAAGCTTGTGTAGCGATATTTATATGCATGACAGTTAAAGCTGTGCACCTTGAGGTAGTTTCAGATATGTCAACGGACGCATTTCTTAACGCATTCAAGCGCTTTATAAGTCGTAGAGGGAAGCCATGTAATATATATTCGGACAATGGTACAAACTTTGTCGGAGCAAATCGTGAGTTGGAGTAATGTAGAGATATTTTTAACGAGGAACAATCAAGGTTAACGAGGAACAATCAAGGTTTAACGAGGAACAATAAAGATTAATCGACTAACCAGATGGCAAATGTTAGAAAAAATGCGCCAACATTTTTGGAAGAGGTGGTCAAGGGAGTACCTATCCCTCTTGCAACGTCGAAATAAGTGGTGATCCAATGTTGGCCCTCAAATAAAGGTCGGCCAATTAGTCCTATGCCGAGAAGAGGGTTTAGCGCTGTTGGAGTATATCAAAGACATAGAGAATGGACTGCGCGATCCCGTATCTATGTAGTATCAAAATGTGTCGACGAAAATGAGAGAGAGGGTCCGTGGAAGACGGCCATTTCTATCTTTTTCCATTCCATGGTGTAATGGAAGAGAGAATGAGAGGGAGATGGCCGTCTTCCACGGTCCCTCTCTTTCATTTTTGTTGACCATTTTGACACACGGATCGCGCAGTCCATTCTCTATGTCTTTGGAGTATATGAGTAAATCCTTCTTTAGAGCGCTCAGCTGTGAGCGTTGGTGTGAGTGAGTGCGCGCGCATGAGGGAGAAAGTTAAGAGTAAAAAATTATGTATTATATGCACGAATAGTCAGTAAAGAAAGAATTATAATTACTCCTGTAGTATGGATTATATAATAATAATAAGTTCATATAAGTAAGCAAAAGAACCTTCCACTGCTCCCACGTACTCTAACATGGTAGCAGTCCGTGGTTTTAAAGGATATAGAGGAAAAGTTCGTGGATTCGAAAGTGAGCACGTGGTAAGCGAAGTTAAGTAAGCTTATGGTTCCGATTATAGAGAGTACAACCAAACCAGAATAAATTAAATGAACTAAGACTATGCCTAAATGGGAGACGAGTTAAATAAATTGAAAACTGAAGGCGCTGAAACAGTATTAGAATTGAGCAAAGAGAACAGAAACTATTTGAGAAGAAGTTTTTTGAAAATATTGAAGGAAGTTTTGATCATTAAAAACGAAGTTTATACCGAAGAAATAGAAACAAAATCTGAAATTTTGGAAATGTTGAAAAACGAAGAGATAAAGATTCCAGTTTTTTATGGCAAAGACTACAATATTTTGGAAAAAGAGTTGGTACTCTACTTGAAGTGGAAAAAATGCGACGAAGCAACAAAAAGAGAAAGATTAGCCACAGAGGATCAGGACAAGTGGGAAGATATGAACTTAAAAGCAATGAACTACATCTACAGCAGTATAACCAACGATCAGCTGGAATTTGTTGGAGATGAAGAGACAGCTTTTGGAATCATGAAGAAGTTTGATCAACTTTACTTAAAGGAGTTCACAGCATTACAGATATGCATTAGAAACAAACTGGATAATATGAAGACTATGAAAGATAATAAAAGACTATGAAGACTCAAGTAAATTTTTCACAGATTTTGAAAAAACAATTAATGAGTTAAAAGGTGCTGGAGGAAAAGTTAATGAACAAGAAAAATTAAATTATATGCTGAGAACACTGCTTGACTCGCTAAGCTATATCGGTGATCTGATAGATGCCATGAAAGATGAGGACAGAAATTGTGAATTTTTGAAAAAAAAATACTTATGTGGGACGTGAAAATGAAAAGTGACTCTGGTAAAAAGAAAGCAAGTGTGTTTAAAGTCGAAAATAAACAAGGTGCGACTTGCTACGGTTGTGGCAAGCCAGGCCACGTGATCAAAAATTGCAGTAACCCATGGCGAAGAGGAGTGGGTAGAAGCAGACCAAGCGGAGCTGGGGTATACAGGCAAGGAGGTGCACGAGGTCAGCTGACACCGCAACAGCAACAGCAACAACAGACACCGCGAGGACGGGGCGGTAGAGGCTACCTGCGCAGAGATTATGGTGGCAGAAGCAAAGGCTGGGAGCAGCCCAGTGAAGACAACGCGAGCGGACACGACGCTAAATATAGTTGTAATGAAAATTATGATGATAAAGGGTCATTTTTAACACAAATTGTTCGAAATGTTGATACGAAAAACGATATTGAAATTTATAATTGTAACAGAAATAGAATAGATTGGATATTGGACAGCGGGTGCTCGGATCACATAATCAATAATGATTCGTATTTATGTGAATATAAAAGTAGGAGATGGTAGAATTTTGAAAGGTACCAAAGTTGGTAAAGTTTATACGTACTTAATGGTTAATGGAAGGAAAATAAGAATAACAATATCCAATGTTTTCTATGTGAAAGATATGGATAAAAACTTAATTAGTTTTGCCAGGGTAACCGACAAAAACAAGATTATTTCAGTAAATCAGACTGCTAAAATTTTTGATTAAAATGATAAGTTAATTGGAAATGCATACAAAAAAAATGGTCTTTATAAAATAAGTAACTTTATGGATGAAAAGGAAACTTATAATACACAAGTAAACAAAATAACTCAGAAAGAAAGATTACATAGAATGTTAGGCCATATAAATTTCAACTATCTAGATTATATGTGCAAGAACAAGTTGGTAGACGGTTTGCCAAATGATTTAGAGTCAATTTATCTAAAATGTGGTACATGCTTAAGAAACAAAGTGAATAATTTACCGTTCAAAAATAATAGAACGAGAGTAAAAGAAATCTTAGAGTTAGTACACTCTGATTTAAATGGTCCACATAAAAACACAGGTTTTGATGATTCAAAATACTTTTTTTGCCTAGTTGATGATCACAGTAAATTAGCGGTCATATACAATTAAGTCTAAAGATGAAGTACATAATTGCTTTAAAAATTACGTAAATAAGGTAGAAAATTTAACGGGGAAAAGGACAAAGAAATTCAGATGCGACAACGGGAAAGAGTATCTAAACAAATTAATGTACGAGTTTGCAAATGAAAAGGGAATAATTGTAGAACCATGCCCACCTTATACACATGAGTTAAATGGTGTGGCTGAAAAGTTTAACAGAACGATCATGAACTCTGCCAGATGCTTACTAGAAGCAAATGTAAATGTTAGATACTGGCCAGAAGTAGTTAGAACTGTAACGTATCTAAAAAAATAGAACATTTACTAAAAGTACGATAGAAAATAGAACACCTTTTGAAATATTCTTTAAAAAAAAACCGGACGTAAGCAATTTGAAACTATTTGGTAGTAAGGTTTTTGTTAGAGTTCCCGAGGAAAAGAGAGAGTCAAAATGGGATAGAAAAGCAGATGTAGGAATTTTGTTAGGATATGAAAACGTAGGATACAGAATCCTAATGAATGGTAAAATCATTATAGCGCGACATGTAGATATAGTAGAAGATTCTGAAAATTTAGTCGGGTTTAGTGGCAATGATAACGAAAGTTCGTATAAGGATGATGATGAACGTAGCTTGAACAATGATAGCGAAGAGCCTGAAATTGAGATGTTCCTAGATAAGCCTGAAAGCAAGAATTTGGAAAATGAAAATCAAAATTACCTTAGAAGATCAGAAAGAGAAAAGAAAAGGCCAGATTTTCATAGTGCCAGTTTAGTTAATACGAGATACATTTATGTAAATGTAGCAAGCGCGGATAGTCCTTTGAGTTACGAAGAAGCAATAAAGAGCAATGAATATGTTTCATGGAAAGAAGCTATGGACAGAGAAATCGAGTGTTTAATGAAAAACAAAACCTGGGTCCTAATCGAAAGACAAAAGAATATGAAGGTATTAGATTTGAAATAGGTATACACAAATAAGTCTGATAATAAAAGGAAGGCGAGACTCGTAGTAAGAGACTTTCAACAATCGGAGGTATTAGAGGATTTATACTCACCAGTTGCCAGAATACAAACCTTAAAATTGTTATTGTCGTGCTGCTGTCAAAATAAATTAACGGTATTCCAGTTAGATATAGAAACAGCGTTTCTTAATGGTCGGGTGAAATCAGAAGTGTACGTAAAACAACCATTAGGATATGCGGACAATACCGGGAGAGTATGTAAATTAATAAAAGCGTTATATGGATTAAGAGAGAGCCCGAAAGCTTGGTATGAATGCTTTGATAATTACATGATAAAATTAGGCTTCGTTAGAAGTGAGAATGATTACTGTCTTTACATTAGATATGAAAAAAATGATACAATCTTCTTAATCCTATTTGTCGACGATTTGTTGATTTGCGGTAAAAAAAACTGGAAGACTGAATGAAATTAAAAGTAAATTATCTGAAAATTTTAGAATGAGAGATCTTGGTGAAGTCAAAACGTATTTAGGAATTAATATCAATTATGATAGAAAAAATTCTAAAATGACTTTAGACCAGAAGGATTATATTGAATCATTAGCAAGGAAATACAATATCACTGAATCGAAATTGTATTGTACGCCTATGGAGCAAAACTTGAGTTTGCAGCCTGCACAATCAGCATCAAATTTTTTGAATTATAGAAACTTGATTGGAGCTTTATTATATGTGAGTACGAGTACGAGACTAGACATTAGTTACAGTGTAAATTATTTGAGTCGATTTCAAAATAGCTTTGATGAATCACATTATAAATATGCTTTGAGAATCTTAAAATATTTATATCTAACAAGAGACTTAAAGTTAACATATCAGATAAATTCAAACGCAGATATCATAGATTGTTTCGTTGATGCTGA